ATATATATACAGTATCTTGGGGTCCTTGTTCTGTTTATTCATGTGAAGTTGCACACAGCAGCCTGGCTCTGTAGATGACCTCTGCAAGCTGTTGTTGTAGAGTTTTCCAGATTTCCACTGAAACATTTTCAGCTACGTATAGTCCATTAAAACACATGCTTTTAATGCAAAAATATAAAAATGAAACTGTCATCTCATAGTGTCATCTGATCCATCTTTTCATCCCAAACCCCCTGCTGATCTGTCCATCCGCATGCCTGCCTATCCTTGGGGACCAACATATCTCAGGACACTTGTTCAATAAGCTGGTCTAAGGACTTTGTGTTTATTTTGTGATCCAGCCCCCAGACATTGAACTGCTCCAACTGGGACTGTTCTCCCCAGCACAGCTCAAATAATACCATAAACAAACTTATCGATTCCCATGTTAAATCATGCTTGGATGAGAGAAGGAAAGAAAATGCAGTTTGCAACTCACACTACAATGTACTTTGTTCTGACAGTAGACATGTTTATAAAAGCAGTTTTTATTTTCTTTCTAGAAAAAAAATGCAAACACCAAAACAGCCATGTTGACAAATGCTTGAGCCTCAAAAATTTGAGCTGATGCAGTTACATTTTTTTCCCTTTGCTTTGGTACATTCCTCTGATCAGAATTGAAATTCCCAAAACTATGAGTTCAGTCTTCACATCTTTGTCACTTCTGCGTATTAAAAAAGCAGTTTCTCATTTCTTTGAGAGTTGCAAGTGGTCCATTCATGTGAAGAATATTTTGTGACTGATTACCTGAACTTTGGATACACTGTGATCACTTATATTGGTTTACTTTAAACAGGACAAAAATAAGTATGTTTTTATGTAATACGTCCCTCCTCAGCAGGATAAACAAGGACTTGCCAATGCAACAGTGCTGACGAAAAAGGTACCTCCCTCAGGGGTTTGACCAGGATGTTTGGGTTATGTTGGGACAAGTAAAACTTAAGATTTTAAGGAGTCTTTAGGGTAGCTAGCAGAGGAAGTCATTGTTTTGATTCTGACAAGACTCAGGGCCACACACAGAAAGTGGCTCTGAGCAATGAGATGGATCTTTGTTGAAGAATATTTTTTAACTGAGAATTCACTTGACTTCCAATGTTTGATCGTGTTTAATACACATGTAAATTATGTGCAATTCTCTGCTGTTTTCTACATTATCAGTTGATTTTGTTCTGTAGATCAAAGCACATTATACTGTATGTGTCTCTGTTTAACAATGTCCCCCTCACAACATTTAGGTATTAGTTCATCACTTAAGTCTTTACATGCAAAATGGTTGAGCAAGATCTAATGTTATGTGCAATTTCTATACATCTCCAATGGACTTAGATCTGTCCTGAATTGATAGATTGCTATCAGGTGAATGCTGATTTTTATATGTACAATACAGAACATCTTCTCACCTTTTTGGACACACTTAACACAGATATCATACCTGAACAAGAAAGGGTTCAGACTGGAGAGGACTTGCCAAAGTATGTGATAGTTGGGACAATGTCAGTTTCCATCGCTCCAACATCATCAGGCAATGGTTTGTGACTCACAACAGGATGCTGAGAGTTCCTCTCACCCTACTCCCCATTTCTTAAACCCACTGAGGATTTTTCTTAACATGGAGATGGAGAGTATATGACCTCCAGCCACATACACAGATGACCCTTCTGACTGCTGTGGATGCAGCTAGTGATGACATCACAACAGAGGTTGGATAAGACTTTCTATGCTGCATCATAAAAAAGATGTGTATTTGATTTGTATTTGTTGTAATTTGGATGAGAATTTGTGGCCCACCAGACTGTACAGACTGTAAATCATACAGCACTGTATGAACAGGTTATCATTATTATTGGATTCTGACTATTTTGACCCTGTTATTATAAAGCAACACAACAGATTTCTACCACCTCTACCATTTACAAACAAAATGTTCTAAGTCGGCACCCAGTTTCTGTTTTCTGTGAGAAAATGTTCATTCAGCGGTTCATACAATGTGTGGACAAATCAAGCATTTCTGCCTGGATTTGTTATCAGCATTTGTTCTAATCAAGGAAGCACAAAGACAGAGTTTTTGCTACAATTATTCTACCATTCAACTCTTTGACCCCTTCATATCCTGATTTGGCTTCATCACGAAAAGAGCTTTAATCGAATGAGGTCAGTGAGTTGGTCAGTAACTGAAAATAAACAAACCATGTACAGAGGAAATTAAAACTTTCACAGATACAAGAATACACATTTTATACAAAACACAATGTATCTGAATAGAAAATGGAATCAAAAAAAGTTTGTTTTCCTGCTTCCATAATGACAGAAGAAATGTGCCGCAATTGTCTTGAGACATCAAAATAAAGATGAGAAAGCAAATTTAGCATTTTCTTATAGACTTTGAGATGTAAAATAATTTTGAAGCTGAGTTTTGGAAACAAGATTGCCTTTTCTTTCTCTAAATGTTACAGGCAAACTGGTGTAAAATCCATGTAATTTCCTGACAATCAGTACAAGTTGACATGTGTGGTGTCATTCTAGCTGAGCTTCACTCACCACACAAATGACAAGCATCAAGTGCTAAAAGCAATACGTTGCAATAACACATTGAATTGCATAAATGTTGTTTTTAATATTTGACTCATAACTTCACTCTTTGTCTCATCAAAATAAAAATATTCAAACTCAACAGTTTTTAATGTCTGTCGCAATCTTTTCACCTTGTGTCTGTCCTCCTTCGACCTCTGTGTAAACCTGAGGGCACTTCCTGTGGATACTTTTTTTCTGCTTGCCCTTCAGAGGAGTCAGACGCTTTTTGCTCTCTCTCCCGAACCTGTCCCTCTTTCCCTGCTTTGCAGCTGGGTCAAGCCTTTCTTCTACCCATCATTCGATAACAAAAGAATTGTGGATTTGGTCAACTGGTCT